GGGGAAGGGGGGGGGGGGGGGGGGGGGGGAATTTCCTTAGTTTTCAAATCTGACTTTTAGCATAGAATAAAGATCTATATAGAAGGGCCACTTACATCAGAAGCTTTGAAGTTTCTGTCCTCACGCATGTTGCATTACGCATGTTGGCCGCCATTTTCCTAGCCAGTCAATGACATTTTCTGACCAATAAACACGCTGTACTGGCTGGCTGCTCCACCTTCTGGCCAGTAAACTGCATATTTTTGCATAAAAACACGAGGACATGTTGCACCGCTGAGTGGCCCTAATCTGTTACTGATCTTTATTCTTTGCTTTTAGGAAAGGCAAATGCAAAACAAATAAAATAGAGACAAAATGAGATAGTGATCATGAAATTGTCATTAATTACAGACTAGTAGTGCCTTGCTGTTGTACATCCCTCCAGTGATTGGTTGATGGTTGCATCTTGAACTATCAGATGAAAGCTTAATAAGCACCCCTACTAGAACTGGCTGGATCTAACCCTGCCATAGATTGTGAGGATTTAAATTAAGATCGATGAAAGTTGAATTTAAATGTAGGATTTATATTCATGATGATGTTAGTGTAGACATTGATCTGAATTCTGGCCTCATGTAAACAAAATGGAACTGTTTTGTTTAGATCATTGAAGAAGCGTTGATCATTCTTCATCACATGAGTCATAGAGGAGGCTGTGGTTGTGATCAATTCAGTGGGGATGGAACAGGAATTATGACAGCCATTCCTCATCATCTATATCTCAAGATACTCAGGTTAGGATATTGTTGGATTGGGGCAAGGGTGTGGCCAGTCCCAAATAAATGAAGGACTCTATTTTTAGGGTCTATATTAATGCTAATTTGTGCATTTTTTCATATATATATAAACAATATTGTGCATTTTATGATGATCTAAAAGTCACTCATAGATTAAAATATTAAGATGTTTAATTAACACCTGGCACCAGTTTCTTCTCAGTTTTGAAAGAATTACAAAATTGGGCCTGAAGTCCAAAATTCAGGTCCCAATCCCGAGACTATATATGCCTCGAACTGTAGCTGGCATTATGGCTTTAATTGTTACATATTGCCATATAATCGGCATCCAAGTTGGAAATTATGGTAATGAGATTTTTTAGCAAAATATTGATAAAATTTTTAAATTTGGCTTTGAATGGTATCTTGTGTAATACAGATGTTAAATACGAGTAATATTTTTGTCACAACCAGTCTGAGCTGGATGGTGATGGCTTCAAATGTTATTGTTATAACCATGCGTCCAAGCTATAAAAATGTAAGTTAGGTTGATGGGATTGGAATAGTAATATTAGACAATCATTAATTTTCTGATGATTTTTTTTATCTTTTCAGAGAAGAAGGATTGAATATTTCACTTCCCGAACCTGGACATTATGCCACTGGATTATTTTTCATTCAAAATAATGAACAACAGGTACAGTTATCAAATTTTATGAACTGCCATAATGCAGGAAAGCAATTCTATGTGACTTCTGTGTGTTTTGCTATGCAGTAGGTTTGCTGACAAAGCTGTAATGCTTACCAAAGCCTAAGCCAATCTATAAAATTTGTTATTAAAATGATTTTTTGTAGATTTCCATTTGTAAAGAACATTTTGAAAGATTAGCCACTGAATGCCAAATCCAGGTAGAACATCATTTCTGTGTTTGCTGAGGTCTTATCTCTCTGTCACGTTTTGCTCATTGACAATATGTGTACACTTGTAAGAGCCAGTTTGGGAGGTGGATGCTCCTCACATTTGATTGCAAGCATGCAAATCAACATAGCTTGAAATAACGGTAATGAGAGTAGTTTTCACCATCAGCGACAAATTCAGGAAGTGTTTATACTTCTATTTTTAAATCACTTACTGTAAAAGTCATTGTTTCGTGTTTTTTACAGGTATTAGGATGGCGTCAAGTGGCTGTGAACTGGCAAGTGCCTGGTCCATATTCACATCTAAAAAAACCTGCCATTGAGCAAGTAAGTAATTCTAATATAGTATGCCCATATATGTAATTCCCTCTGAGTAGAACTTCATTGGCTTGTCAATATTTCCTAGAATTTGTATGCCTAATCCCCTTCCCCCCAATTACACCTCAATTTTCAAATGAGTTTTGGAATTTGTTGTAAAAGAGATATTTCATCTAGGTGTTTGTTTCAAGTCATTTGGATATGGAAACATTCAAGAAACAGGTTTGCAGTTTCAATTTCCTTTTTTATAAATAAAAAATGATGATTGTTTTGAGGTGTAAAGTTGACGTTTGAGTTTTTGTAATCATTATAATGATGTTTTTGTGTAGGTGTTTTTATTGAGAAAAATGGCAAGC